ATAAGAGCCAATTGTTTTGAAGGACGTCCAGTTCCCAAAAAATCTAATTTGCCATAGATGATGATCAAAGTTCTCATTGGTGGCGTCAGGCCTTTCTTCATAACCATTTGACTAAATCAGTTTGCACACTGTTGACTTAAACTCCAGCCAGTTCAAATAATTCATCCCATGGGAAAAAGAGTTTAAAGTAGTTTGAGCTGGCCTATCGTTTACTAGCAAAATAATATTTGATTTACTAGCTGTCAGCTTTCATCAAATCTGTGTATTATATTTGACTATACTGTGAAGCCAAATTCAAATAAAGAGCAAGGGAATGGGTGAAACCAGCAAAGAGCATAGCTTAACTTGAATTGGCTCACAGTTAGGAATTAAATCAATAATCAGCTATAACAAGTACAGAGAAGAGCAATATTTTGTTAAGAGGCTGCTGGGGGAATTACTCTGTAATTAGCTTTTAAAAATGTTTTTGTTGGTTTAGACCCATGTTTTTCTGGTTGTTGATATCTGGGGCCCACTGTTCTTTCAGATTAAGGCAAAAGATACCACTCCTCGAATTAAAAAAAAAAAATACCGCTAAAAGACGTGTCTATGCAATTGGTGAGAAAAAGAAGGCCATTGATTGGACCACAACTTACTAACTAATTACATTAATTAAATAAACAAAATGGGATATCGAATATATGGCAGGGGTTGGATGCCTAAATGAAATAAAAATAATTCTTTTAAACTTAACGGTTATATATTTACTTACTAGATTGATATGGCCGTCCAGTTTGCATGCTTCATCTGATCTGGTGAAATAGTTCAATTTCATGAAATTTGGGTGATTCTGTACGAGGCTTGCAAAACTTCAGGTGAGGGGATGACATTGTGTGAGAACACAGAGACAAAAATCATAGAGAATACCTTCCCTTCACCAACTCATCAGACTGTCGAGAAGCTGTCCCATACTTAGAGATTTCCCACTTTTTCCAAAGGGTAGGAGCGATTCAGAACTTTGGAGAAGGTTGAAGACTCAGAACGTCAGTGAGCCAATGGCGCAATGGTTAGAATGCAATATTGCAGACTAATTTTGCCGACTGCCAGCAGTTCAATTCTCACTGGCTCAAAGTTGACTCAGCCTTCCATCCTTCCGAGGTTGGTAAAATGAGGACCCAGATTGTTAGGGGCAATAGGCTGACTTTATAAACCACTTAGAGAGGGCTGTAAAGCACTATGAAGCGGTATATAAGTCTAAGTGCTAAATGCTGTTGCTATTGGAGGCTAACTCTGCCTACTGCCAGGAGTTCGATGCTGACCGGCTCAAGGTTGACTCAGCCTTCCATCCTTCCGAGGTCGGTAAAATAAGGACCAAGATTGTTGGGGGCAATAGGCTGGCTCTGTAAACCGCTTAGAAAGGGCTGTAAAGCACTGTGAAGCGGTATATATGTCCTAAGTGCTATTGCTATTTCAGAGTTTTGGAACTAGTTTGGGCATGATGACATCACCTAATCCTTCTTCACGTTTGGTAGCTGTTTTAGGAACAATGAGGCAATAAGTACTAATGGCTGAGTTAGCCTTTAGTATTCATCCTTTTGTCTTTAGTTTCATATTCTTTAAAATTATAAGCCTGTCTGGTTATTAATTCTATGTAAGCTGCTGTGCGCATTCTCTTCCAACACGAGACTTTAATAATAATAATAATAATAATAATAATAATAATAATAATAATAATAATAATAATAATAATAATAATAATAATAATAATAATAATAATAATACAAAAGTAGGAAGGGACCTTGGAGGTCTTCTAGTCCAACCCCCTCCTCAGGCTGGAAACCCTATACCATTTCAGACAAATGGCTGTCCAGTTTCTTCTTAAAAACTTCCAGTATTGGAGCATTCACCGCTTCTGGAAGCAGGTTGTTCCACTGGTTAATTGTTCTAACTGTCAGGAAGTTTCTCCTTAGTTCTAGGTTGCTTCTCTCCTTGATTAGTTTCCATCCGTTGCTTCTCGTCCTGCCTTCAGGCACTTTGGAGAAGAGCTTGACTCCCTCTTCTTTGGGGCAGCCCCTGAGATACTGGAAGACTGCTATCATGTCCCCCCCCCCTCATCCTTCTCTTCATTAAGAAGACATTTGAGGAACTTTTACTAGATTCAGCAAGAAAAAAAATCATATCCTTGGGGAAGGAGATATTCATCTTCCTCTCTGTCTTGCAAGATCCATGACTGTGTAGGCATCCTACCTGTGGGAGTTGATCTCCCTGCCGCAAAAAGCCAACTATGGATTTTCAAAATAAGCCGGTTTTCTGGATTCCTGAATTGCTTCTCTTTCTCTTGTGCTTCCAGACTTCAAGAATCACCCAGCCAAGTGAAGATAAAGAAGGTGGTTGGGATGCCTGGGGAGCATGGAGTGATTGCTCACGGACCTGTGGAGGAGGTGCCTCCTATTCACTACGGAGATGTTTAAATGGCAGGTTGGTCATTCAAATTCCAGATCTTAAAGTTGGATGCAGGAGTCTCTCAGCACTAGAAATTTGGGCGGCTTGCATTAAGTGTATCTCCACGAGGGAACAATTTAAATACAAGCAAATAAGAACTTTTAAAAACATCAAAATGGGATGCCAAGGGCTTAATGTGGAAATCTACCGATAGGTAGGTGGGCCATTGGGTTTTCAGAAGATATAATAGAATAACAGTGTTGGAAGGGACCTTGGAGGTCTTCTAGTCCAACCCCCTGCTCAGACATGAAACCCTATACCATTTCAGACAAATGGTTGTCTAATCTTTTCTTCAAAACCTCTAGTGTTGGAGCATTCACCGCTTCTGGAGGCAGGTGGTTCCACTGGTTAACTGTTCTAACTGTCAGGAAGTTTCTCCTTAGTTCTAGGTTGCTTCTCTCCTTGATTAGTTTCCATCTGCTGCTTCTTGTCCTGCCTTCAGGCGCTTTGGAGAACAGCTTGACTCCCTCTTCTTTGTGGCAGCCCCTGAGATATTGGAAGACTGCTATCATGTCCCCCCTCGTCCTTCTCTTCATTAAACTAGACATACCCAATTCCAGCAACCGTTCCTTATATGTTTTAGCCTCCAGTCCCCTGATCATCTTTGTTGCTCTTCTCTGCACTCTTTCTAGTCCTTCTTTTCATTAAACCAGACATATCCAATTCCAGCAATTGTTCTTTATATGTTTTAGCATCCATCATCTTTGTTGCATTCAGTGGTAGAGAGAGATGACTTAACCCTGCTTTTTTTCTTTCTTGTTCACAGGCTCCCAATCCATTGCCCAGTTGGGCTTTCTAGGTTGATCTCTGCATTGAATAAGCTGAATATCTGCTCATAAATAGCCTTCTCTGTTACCTAGCAGGTTTCTGCTAGGGAGTCCTGTACAATCTTGTGCACGGTGCTTCAGAATTCACTTAATAGGTTGAGATGTTCCACAGCTGTAAAATCATTAGGAGAAAATTTAACTTCCTTCATGGGACTGTTATGTTAACCCATCATCCTCTTAAACACAATTAAATGTGAGATGTGTATACTCTGTGTGTGTGTGCGTGTGTATCAAATATAATAATTTTACAGCCTTCTCTTTCCATGAGACTTCTGTAGAATAACTTCACTCAAGCTTTATTTTTCTTGTCTTTCAGAAACTGTGAAGGCAGAAATATCCGCTATAAAACCTGCAGCAATCATGTAAGTCTGATCGCTAATTTTGTTTGACTGTTCTTGCTTTCCCAGATCAAACAGCTTTAAAGTTCTGGCAACTTGCCTTCTTTTGTTAAACTAAAAGAAGGGGGAAAACAGGAGGATCAGAGTCCAGAATATTTATTTTTCCCTCCTAACAGTGAGATTAAATGTTCAGAAGTTAAATACTTGTGCAATGTATAGGAAAAATACACAGCTCTTCAGATGTGAAGTTAGTAGCAAAGTATTAATTTTAATTTTGAGGGAGATTTGAAGTGGATTGATTTAAATGGATTGATTCAAGTTTAGAAATTTACAGGGAGTTGAATTGGATGACCATATATAAATACATAGAATCATAAGGTTGGAAGAGACTTGGAAATGTTCTAGTTTAGGGGTAGGCAACTTTTTTCAGTGCCGTTTTAACTTTGAACGGTCACTAAATGAACTGTTGTAAGTCAAGGACTACCTATAGTTATTGCCTGAAAAAGAGGGAGTTGCGAATAATAGCCTTTTCATCATATAGCTTGTTTTGACTTTGAGTTCTCTTCCGCTGAATCTTGGACAACAAAATCTGAGATGAGTCCAAGTCCATTGCTTCAGGCATCCAAGTAACATCTCCAACAGGCACTTTGAAGGGGAAAGGGTTAGATAACATGCCAAGGATGGAAACTCTGGTTCCTAGCTTCTTTGTTGAGCAACTATTTGTACAATTTTTTTTAATGTACTCCAACTTTCCTGATCCATAAACACATATTCTAGTGTTTTCTTCTTTGCATTTTACCAATGTAATTGGTTTGGGTTCCTTTTTTTCACATTGTGTAAGATCTGTAGTGAGTGTTTGCGTACAGCTTCTCTTTTTGGAGCAAAACTCTTGTTTTTGTCAAAGATCTGGAAACAATCTCCAAGCTTTTTGTAAGTGCAATTCGTAAAGTAAGCTGGCTGCAGTTATCTTGTCATCCGACGCAACGTTGTTTCCTGGAGGATTGTCTGTGGATTGTCTCTCGCATCTTTCCCCAAATTTTGGGGGATGGCGGATATACGTTTCTTTCAGATGTTAACCTCCTTTGCCGTTGCGTGTTTCCATGGAAAGGTCTAAAGCCAAAATGTGCACAGAATCAGAGAGTCAGAATCGAGGCCCGTGCCAAAGGAGGAATCCAAAGTCAGAATCAGGAATGTGTGCTTGATTGAAGCTTGAAGGGGAAAAAAAAAATGCACCATCACGAAGCCTGCAAACCATGAGAACTGATCCAAGCCATTCAGGAGACTAGACAGAAGACCGGATACAGTAATTAAGGTGATAAGAGTAGTGCCCCGAATCCCTGGAAGATTTCCAAAGGTGAAGTTAAAAGGACAAAAAAATGCGGGTCTCACAACCAAGTTGTAGACGTTTTATTTGTTGTTATTTGCCCTGTAGCTAATTCTTCTGTCTTAGGAAAGTTTCAACCAGCTGATTTCCTCATGACACAGCTGTATACAGGTCGTTCTCATTTAACAACTGTTTTTGAAGCTTTGGGAGTTATGACAGTGATGAAAAAGAAACTTTACAGGCAACTTTTGCATTGACCACCATCGCAGGTCTATAAAGAAAAAGAAAGCTGAAGTAAGAACATAAGTACAGTCATGGCTTCATTTAACAACTTCCAACTTAACAACCAAGTGGCCAATCCCAATTCTGGTTGCTAAATGAGGACTACCTGTACTATCTTTGCATTCAAGAAGTGACAATCAACTTCAGCAAGACAACACAAAGCTTGTTAGTTTTTTCCCCCCTCTAATACTTTGAATTGCTCCAATTTTCTCCACCCTTCCTTGGATGAATTTTATGAGACTTGAGCCACATAACAAATTTCTGTCATTAATTTCAGGAACACGCCCATGGGTGACTCAAGTCCAACGCATGGTGGGAAGTATCTAGAATATTCACTATAATTTGCAATGGTTTCCTCCTTCTGAAATAAAATCTGTCTTGCTCAACTTCAACTTGCCTTGCTGAATGTGCATTTAAAAATGCATAGGATTTGTCGCCTGACTCAAACCAAGTGATGGCAGTGCACAGTCAATTGTGTATATTTATTTGTAAGTGTGATTTAAGTCAAAATTGCACAACTGTTTCAGCCTGAATGCTTCCTTTGGCCTCAGCTATTATGCTGGATTCGGTGCACTGCAAAATTCATTTCTCCTCCATATCTTCTTTAATTGGGCTTTGCTCAGATGCTACATTTAGACATACTACCACTTATTACAGTGTGCGTGGCTAGGTTTTGTGTAGCAGCATGTTAAGATCGGTCAAAATTTGACAGCTCAGATGCCTGCTACCTTGGTGTATTTCGTGGAACTTTACCTATTACCTCTTTTATAGCCTGGACTTAGATTGCTTCTCTTTTCATTTCATTCACTTGCCCCTGTCAATCTATTTCATAAGGTGTATTTTAATTTTGCTTTACTAGATTTGTAAGCTAGAGTCTTTTATAGTTGCTGACAGATCACTTATGAATATATTTCTTGTATTGATCTGAGAACGTAATAAAAGGCTGACTGAACCCAGTCTGTTCACCTGCATACTACTATCTGCCTGAAGATATTTTTAATCTGTCTCCCAGGACAACAATCTGCACAAGCTGTTCCTTGTAAACTGTGACATTTTTTTTCAGTCTTCCTTAAGCCCCATGTTTTGTGTTTCCATTTCTGTTACATTCTGATGCTATGATTTGCACATGGAAGTGTTTAAGATAATCCTTATGGGTCCTATTCATTGGAAGGGGGGAAAAACTTGTTTAGACCATTTCCACATAAATTGTATGTTTTTCTATGTGAGGAAGCCAGCTGTGTACTTGCCAACATGATTTGGCTTCCATGTGTAATTTTGGGGTCCTGGCAGCATATAAATATGAGCAATTATTTGCTTGTGTGCACATATCTATGTACATATGTATCTCTATCTATCTGGAGAAAACATGGCCGCACATAGAAACACAACGTAGACCCTCATTTATTTACACTCCTGGTTATTAGTGTGGATCTGAGATTGGCACCACCCTTTCATGCTCCCACAATGCCGCGGAGCTTCTAGGAGCTTGACTGTGATGGAATAGAGTCATGGAACCACCCCTGGACCAGATGTGAGTTCAGAGGAGGAGGGTGAATTGAGTCGGCAGAGGAAAGCGTGGAGCTGAGTGTCGGTCAGGACACTCAGAGAATGCTAGCCTGATGAAGCAGCCTCAGCTGGGTGGATTAGCCAAGTGACAGGCTGAGCTAGGCAAGCCACAGCTACTGCAAGTTGGCCAGGAGGATCCAGGCAAGGACCAGGAGCAGCTGCCACCTGTTAGCAATGAGAAGAAAGTGAAATCCACACCTCCTCCTGGTCCAAGGACAGGTAGAGCAGAGAGGAGACAGTCATAATGCCAGTCAACTAAGACTACTCTTGAGAAGGCAACCTCCTAAACAAGAGACTGCACAATCCTGAACTGAATGGAGATGTAGGAGATGACCAGGCTGAGCTCGAGGGAGGGGTCAAATGTGTCATCAGTCTCGAATCCCTGCGTACCCACAAGAGATCTAAGTCCAGCCCACCGTGAATTCCTTTGACTCTTATCTACCGGTAGTTTACTTTGACCGCTAGTAGCTCAGATTCTTGTAGAGAGCTTAACCTTGCAATAAATCTTTATACTCATTTGAACTGCCTGGATTTTCTAATTTTCCTGGGGCTTGGCAGGAGGAGGAGGAAGCAAAAGGTTCAACGTAGCCACACTCTAGAATCTCCCGGGGTATATCTATGAGGCTAGAAGATTGTAGCTCTAGTCTGGTGAGATCCCGCCTATTAGGTCTAAGCAAAGAAGGATCCAGTCTCCATTGGACTGACATTGACATGCCGAATCGAGAACTTAGTGTTAACCAGCACTTCCCCTGAGAAGACTCTGCCATACAATTTTGCAGTGTCCCTGTTGAGCTGAGGGTGGACAGTGCCTTCTTGTTGAGAGGAAGGAAGAACATGTCCTAACGTTTGATGTCCCATCCTGAAGCAACAATATCGGTACGCTTGGCCCCCCATTCGTTGCTCCAGCGTTTTCTGACTGTTCTGAGTGATGAATTTCTATACTTCTGCCAGAGTGGCCTCCGTGCTTGTGAAAAACTCACAAGGCAAGGAAGAGGTTGGTTGTTTTTGGCTTTTGGCTATTGTCCAGCAAAGGGAGAACTGGCTAGTTGCGTGAGGATGGAAGACCATTGTGGAGCAAATGACTGCTGACGGTTTTGAAGGTGTAACTGGTAGTTGTACGAAAGAGGTTCATTTGACTTTGCAGGAACCTAGTTCTGGAATACCCTGTTCCAAATGTCTGTTCAGGTGTGTGTGTAGGGGGAGGGAAACGCAGCTGGCAAAATTAGAAGTCTTTTGTAATCTCCTTTTTCTATGGCTTTGAAAAATGGGCAGGCAGTTAATCTCG